TCTCTCTCTCTCTCTCTCTCTCTCTCTCTTTAAAAAAAATTGAAAAACTTGGGTTTAGTAGGAAAAGTAGAGCCAGAGGGCAAGGTGCTAAGCAAACATAGATGTGGTGAAAAGTCCCAGGTGCTTCCCAGGTCAAGCAGACACCACAGACTGAGAAGCAAAGGCACCTCAAATGTGGTCTAAGCCTGGCACTGTAGCGCACACATGTAATCCCAGTGGCGTAGGAGGCTGAGGCAGGAAGATTGTGAGTTCAAAGCCAGCCTCAGCAATTTAGCAAGGTGCTAAGCAACTCAGTGAGACCCTTTCTCTAAATAAAGTACAAAATTGGGCTGGGGATGTGGCTCAGTGGTGGAGTGCCCCTGAGTTCAATCCCCAGTACCCCCCCATACAAAAAAAAATGTGTTCTAGATACAGATGGCCAGGTACCAGTTATCTATCTGTGTCTCCCACAAACCACTTGGTGCCAGGGGCAGGAAAGATAGAGAGGAGCCAGATTGAAGTAGGGCTCCTGAGCTTCTAAGCCCCATAAGTGGACACAAAATGAGATGATATGTATGTATGCAGATCAGACTCTAGGGCTCCAGCCCTTGCTGCCAAGTGGTATTTAAATTGTAGAGCTGGGAAGGCCAGGTAGCCAAGGTTGTCAGTACCCATTGTGACTTTCCTGCTTGTCTGGCCCTGGGTCCTTATGCCATCTTGCTTAGGAGGGACTTTTCACTTTCACTTCCTCTGAACCCATTCTGGACAGAGTCAAAAATATGTTTCAGACATATCCCTTCCCCAAAGGAAATGGGTAAGCTGAAACCTTATTGGAATCCAATAACCATCAGGGTTGATTTGGGAACTATAGTGTTCTATGGAGCTGTTCCAGCTGGAAGAGTCAAGGAAAGCTTCCAGGAGGAGGAAACTGCTATGCTAAAGCCAAAGTGAATAGTAGATGAGTGGAAAAAACAAGGGTTGAGTGGAGGGCTGGGGATGTGGCTCAAGCAGCAGCGCACTCGCCTGGCATGCGTGCGGCCCGGGTTCGATCTTCAGCACCACATACAAACAAAGATGTTGTGTCTGCCGAGAACTAAAAAATAAATATTAAAAATTCTCTCTCTCTCTCTCTCTCTCTTTAAAAAAAAAAAAAAGGTTGAGTGGAACCCACTATTTCAGATGACTCTTGATCTATTGGGGCTTAAAATTTCTCATTTGTAAAATGGCCACAGATGGTTTAAATAGATAATGTATGGCAAGCATGTTGAGCATAGAGCATAGCACATAGTAGGTACTTATTCTGTAGTGGTGGTGGTGTTACTTTTGTTTTGGGTAAGGTAGGCAACCCATGTAGAGAGAACCACACTTGCAAATGCCAGAGGCCTTTGAGCCAGGTCTGGATAAGGCTTGTGAAAGTCCAGACTAGGGCTGGGGAGGTGGCTCAAGCGGTAGCGCGCTCGCCTAGCATGCGTGCGGCCCGGGTTCGATCCTCAGCAGCACCATATACCAACAAAGATGTTGTGTCCGCCGAGAATTAAGAAAAAATAAATAAATGTTAAAATTCTCTCTCTCTCTCTGTCCCTCTCTCTCACTCTCTCTTAAAAAAAAAAAAAAAAAGTCCAGACTAAGCCCTGAGTAGGAGAAATAGGCTTTTACGCAAACTTTGGAGCTGCCTATACCTGGGCCAATGAAGTCCCGGTGTCCCTCTAACTCTGGGAGGCTGGTGCTATGGCTATATGCATTGTGTTGAGGCTGGCAGATATGAAGCAACTTGCCATGATCACTTAGTCAAAAAATGGTGGGATCTAGAAAGAAACTCTGTTCTCTGGTGCTTCCTTCCTCCCTGAGCCCCAGAGAGATCAGACATTATCTGTCCTATGTCCATCATGGCAGCTTTGCCCAGCCTCAGTAAAATCCCTGCCTCAAAGTCCTCAGTTTCTTTGAGCGTAAAAAATGGACTCAAACTAAAATAAGTGAGCTAATTACCAGGATGCCTTTTTCTGTTCTGGGTTCTCTCACCTCATTGAACACAGAGGACATGGGTATTCAGAAAGATCAGGGAACTCTGTGAGATCACATGTCACACTGATCAAATAGTGTTGCATTATTAGTCCATTTAACAAATGACAGCATGGAAGTTCAGGAAGCTGAAACCCTATTGGAATCCAATGACCACCAGCCCTAACAATCTGACTAAATGACCAAAGCTTTAGAAGGCCACACCAGGTGCTGCTGTCTCTTATGATGTGGCACAGGGACTTAGTTGGGCCAAAAGACACCCAGGGAATCTCAGTAGGCTCAGGCGTCCGTGTCAGGTCTCAGTCTCTGCCTAGGCAACCCGGAGAGGTGAACAACCCTTGAAGACACCCGCGGCAGGGGACTAGGGGAACCCATCCCGAAGCGGAAGGGGCGCGTGGAGTCCCACCAGAGTGCGCCGGAAGGGGCGCGTGGGGCGGTTGGCCGCGGCCGGGGCGGCAGCCGTTGGCGAGCTGTGGCCTCCCAGGCGAGGTCAGGCGTCTGGCCTGGCTGCGGCCACAATGACCAAGGACTCGCCCACCCCCTTGGGTGGCGGCCGCGCGTCGCCCAAGAAGCCAGGTAGCCCCGGCCCGGCGGCTGCAGTGCAGGAGGAACAGAGACGGGAGCTAGAGAAGTTGCGGGCTGAGCTGGAGGCGGAGCGCGCGCGGAGGTTGGCGGAACGACGGCGCTTCGCGTCCCAGGCGCGGCAGCTGCGGGAGGCCGCCGAGAGGGAGCGGCAGCAGCTGGCTGACCATCTGCGCTCCAAGTGGGAGGCACAGCGCTTCCGGGAGCTGCGGCAGCTGCAGGAGGACGTGCAGCGGCAGCGCGAGACCGAGATCCGGCAGCTGCTGCGCTGGAAGGAGGCCGAGTTGCGGCAGCTGCAGCAGCTGCTGCATCGCGAGCGTGATGGCGTGGTGCGCCAGGCCCGGGAGCTGCAGCGCCAGCTGGCCCAGGAGCTGGTGAACCGTGGCTACTGCAGCCGCGCGGGGGCGCCGGAGGTCTCTGCCGCGCAATGTCGCTGTCGCCTGCAGGACGTCCTGGCACAACTGCGCTGGGATACCGACAGCGAGCAGGCAGCGCGCATCCGTCACCTGCAGGCGGCGCTGGACATGGAGCGCCAGCTCTTCCTCAAGTACATCTTGGAACACTTCCGCTGGCAGCCCGCTTTGTCTGGACCCCCGGACTCCCAGGCAGTGAATCCCTCGGAAGAGCCGCTCCCTGGAACAGCAAGCAGTGCTCGTCTCACTCCAAAGCCCGACTGTCGTCTCGCATCCCTGGACGGCCTGAGCGCGCGCGATCGCATTCGCTCTCGTTCCCTGGATTTGGTGCCCGGTGTGTGCTCAAGCTCCGCAGATGGCCTGCTCCCAACGCGCGCCAGCTCCCTCGATTCCTTGGCAACAGAGCGTTCTTGCTCGCTGGACAGCACACTGAGTTTCCCCAAGGCCTCCGAAACTGAGGCGCGAGTCTCCTTGACAGATGCATCCATCAGGGGCTCCCTAAGTACCCCGCCGCCGCCACTGCTACCATCCCTGTCATTATCGGTACGTAGGAACCCTAGCGATCCCCGAGAAGAAATCTCCCGGAAGGAGCCCTGCGCTGCTCTGACGCCCTCACCACTGAGCTTGGACTACCAGGATCTGGTGAAGCAGAACTCGGAACTTGCTGAAACGCTGCGGGTGCTGGCACGCCGCTGCTCTGGACTACAAGAAGAGAACATACAGTTGCGTCGCTCACACTTCTCCGACGGGGCGGAGGAAAAGGTGAAGCGGCTCAAAGTGAAGCACGCGGAACTGACCGGACTCGCGAGGCGCCTGGAGGACCGGGCTCGAAAGCTTCAGGAGACCAACCTGAGAGCAATGAGCGCGCCTGTGCCGGGTGAGAGCCGCTCTGGCCTGGAGCTATGCCAGGCCTTTGCTCGCCAGCGTGCGCAGGATCTGTCAGAGCAAGCTAGCGCGCTGCTAGCCAAAGACAAGCAGATCGAAGAGCTGCAGCGCGAATGCCACCTGCTGCAAGCACGCGTCGCCACTGACCTTAATAGCGTCTCTGATCCTGGAGGAGGCGCCCCCTGCACGCAGTGGCTCAACATCAGCGACTTGGACCGGCTGCAACGTGAGTCCCAGCGGGAAGTGCTACGCCTGCAAAGGCAGTTGACGCTACAACAGGGCAAGAGCGACAAGCCAGCCGAGGCGGGCGGCCAGAGCGCACTCTGTGAAGATGCGCGACACCAGGTGCAAGCACTAGAGCGCGAGCTGGGCGCGCGGCGTAGGGAATGTGAGGAACTGGGTGCTCAGGCGGCGGCAGCACAGCGGCGCGGCGAGGAGACAGCAGCACAGCTGCAGACAGCACTGCGCAAGGGCGCCTGGCTGGCGGAGGAGAACGCGCGACTGCAGGCCCAGGCTGACTGGGTGAGGAAAGTGGCTGCAGAGAACAGCGACGTGCGCGAGCAGCTGGGCCGCGCGTGCCAGGAGCGCGACGCCGCAAACCTGCTGGCAGAGCAGCTGCTGCAACAGGCAGCACGCGAGCAAGACAGGCAGCAGCAGCTGCAGCACGACCTGCAGAAGGCCCTGAGTGACCTGCAGGATGCCCGGAAGGAGATGCAGGCGCTGCAGTGTTCCTCTGAACACCCTCCCGAACAGCTACGGGAGACCACCCAAACCCCAGAATCCCAAGGTAGGGGTAGTGGAAGGGCCAAGTTCAAGCCAGGGCCTGAAGACCATGCCTTGTCAGACCCCAGCAAACAGCTTCTTGTTTGTCTCTCCCAGCAGGAGAACCCAGTTCTTGGGGAACCATCCAGTGTGCCCCAAGTGTCAGATAGGGTCCCTGCCAGCCAGCTCCTGGACTCCAGGCCCCAGACCAAGAAAACCAGCTCCCATTCAAACTCCTCCTCCTCCTCAGAGGTGGAGTCCATGTGGGCCACAGTGCCATCTTGCCTTACTCTGGACATGGATACAGTCAGTGAGGTGGATGACCTAGAGCCAGACAGTGTGTCTCCTTCCCTGGAAGTGGGGTCCTCTGAGACTCCTGCAACTCCCAAGCTCAAAATCTTTTTGGCTAGGTATAGCTACAACCCCTTAGAGGGGCCCAATGAGCAACCTGATGGTGAGCTGCCCTTGACAGCTGGTGACTATGTATATATCTTTGGGGATATGGACGATGATGGCTTCTATGAAGGGGAGCTTGAGGATGGCCGGCGGGGACTAGTGCCCTCAAACTTGGTGGAACAGATTCCAGACAGTGACATCCTGGGCTGCCTGTCCTCCAAGTACCCTGACCTTGGCCCCACTGTACTGCCAGCTGGGCAGAGCAGAGTCTCAGAAGAAAATAGCTCATTATCTGGGGAAGCACAGGGATCAGTGGATAGAGTGCCATGCCAGCAGGGAAGGGTGGGCTCCAAGACAGAAGTGGCAGTAGAGATCTTGGAGTCTAAGACAAAAGCATGTTGGCTAGGCTCACCACATAGTGTGGGGGAGCAGGGCTTCTCCAGACCCCTTCTGGGGGCCAAAGGAGTGCTGTGTGTGGCTCCAATGCAACTACATCTGCAGAATGTCACAGCCACATCAGCTGAAATTGCCTGGGTCTGCAGCAGCAACAGACACCCTCATGTGGTATATCTCAATGACCAGGAACATGCCTTGACCCCTTCAGGTGTGAGCTGCTATACTTTCCAAGGCCTACATCCCAGCACACGATATCAGGTGCGGGTGGAGGTGCGTCTGCCTTGGGACTTGTTGCAGGAGCACTGGGAAACAATGTCCTCTACCATCATCTTCAATACCCCCTTAGCAGGACCCCCTGACCCTCCGCTAGATGTCCTGGTGGAGCACCACACCTTGCCAGGTTTCCTGGTGGTCAGTTGGCTTCCTGTGACCATTGACTCAGCTGGGTCCTCCAATGGGGTCCAGGTTACTGGTTATGCTGTGTACGCAGATGGGCTCAAGGTTGCAGAGGTCACTGATGCCACTGCTGGGAGCATCCTGCTGCAATTTTCCCAAATGCAGGTGCCCCTAACATGCCAGAAGGTCTCAGTGAGAACCATGTCACTTTATGGTGAGTCCATGGATTCAGTGCCAGCTCAGATCCCTGAGGACTACTTCACCTGCAACCCATTACCAGAGACTCCTTCATTTAGCTATACCTGTGGTGACCCATCCACCTATAGAGTCACCTTCCCTGTCTGCCATCAGAAGCTGGTACTGGCTTCTCCGAATACCAAAGCTGTCCCCCACACTCCTGGAAGTTGTGGGGAGCCTCAGACCAAGTCTTTAGAAGCATTCCCTGAAGAAGCCCCAAAAAGGCAGTCCCCAGTGTCCAACCTAAGCTCAGAAGGGACTGGCAACAAAGTCCAGGAACCCATAGAGACCTGGAAAAAATGCAGAAAGGATATGTCCTTTCAGAAGAATCCCCAGAACCACCACAGATTACCTGTACCCAGTGACCAGTCTGGGTTGAAAGAAAACCACTATGGGCACATGAATACCAGCAGAAGTCCTGTTCCAGGATTCAGCCATCCGCCCCCTGAGTGTGGACCCAGAAAAGAGCTAAGTCAGGAGAAGGCTGCCTTTGAAAAGACCCTTAGGCAAAAACAGAATACCCAAGTGTTCATACCTCCCCAACAGAGAACCTGCCAGCAATATGCAGCTGATTTCCATGACATCTTTGAGGAGGCGGCAGCATTGTGCTTGGATCCTTGGTGCACAAAAAATCAAGAGCAGAAAAAGAATTTGAGGCCTCACAGTAGGCGAGGTCAGGCTCTGGGGGATAAGAGAGAGTGCCAGCTCCTTGAGCCCAGTTCAGTGCTGTGTCCAACTCCATCCAGCAAAATCATTAAGATGTCCAGGGGTGGCCCCACACAGCTGGGGACAGAAGCCAATATTCCCGCCAGGGTCTTTGTGGCCCTCTTTGATTATAACCCTCTGACAATGTCTGCCAACCCTGAGGCAGCAGAGAAGGAACTGACCTTCCAGAAAGGGCAGTTGCTAAGAGTATGGGGCTGTCAGGACCCCCATGGTTTCTACCATGGTGAGTGCAATGGACAAGTGGGCAACATCCCTGGGCACCTTGTAGTGGAGGTAGAGGTGGGCACAGAGTGGACTGACAGGAGGTGGCATTTGCCAGCACAAGGGCACCTGCCCTCTGTGGGCCACCTTGCAGACTTTGAGAGGCTCACCAGGCCCCAAGGTTCCTTCCTCATACCCCAAGGGAACTCCAAGAGACCCACACTGTGGACTCCAAAGACCATGATGGCGGCCCTGGACTATGATCCCAGGAATAGAAGAGCAGGATGCCGGGGAAAAGGCAAGCTGGCACTGAGGGCTGGGGACATGATCACAGTGTATGGGCCTGTGGATGATAAAGGATTCTATTATGGTGAGTCAGGTGGCCATAGGGGCCTAGTCCCAGCCCACCTATTGGATGACTTGTCTATCCACAGAGAGTAAGCAAGGCTACCTGCTGGGGTGGTAGCCTCTGGCTTCCCACACCCCTCTGGATAAGAAGCAAGCATGAGCACCCTCATACAACACCCCTTCTTGCAGCCGCCTTAAGCAACATTTGCTCCAGGCACCATTGTGTTAAAACTGATGGCAGTCCCCAGGTGTCCCTTAACCTCTGGGAGAAGTTGAGCTTAATTGTTTCCAAAAGAAAATAAGCCAATTCCTGAGAGTTTGACTGTTTCAAAGTTGTCAAAAACTATAATATGTATTTGAAGAAGTGCCTTTTTCTGTGGTCAATATGTGTTGTCTTTAGCAGGTTAACATTATTCATCCATTGCCTTGTATGAAAGTCTTAAGAAAAGTCTGCATCTTAAAAAAAAAGAATCAGAATGTTATTTTTTTATTTTATGTTCAACCCCTCATTAAAATGTTCATAGAAAAAAAAAAGAATATTTTAGAAGTTAAAGAACAACCAAGGGAAATATGCACATGTCTCTTCTTCCCTGACCTGTCCAGTGGATCTGCAAGTGCTACAGAAATGTCTTCCTGGCCAGGGAAGAGTAGTTGCATTTTTACTCTTTAGGGTGGGCCCTGTTCGAGGCATGCTAGTTACAGAGGGTCCAGCCAGAAGCCAGAGCTAAGAAACAGGGCCCTGAAGGTTTTTCCTGGCTAGAACTTTCCCAAGGGGTCCCTATGCTGGGACTGTGTTGCTGGTGAACCCTTGTGAAGGTGGGGTCAATGTCTCTCAGTAGAGAGTCTGACTCTAGATTCTCCCTTTCCCAAAGTGCTTCATGAGAGATCCTCTTGGAAGTGCACTTTCTTAATTGCCCCTATTTTACATAAATGCCAACTGAGACTCAGGGGAGTCCCCCAATGGCTAAAGTCAGAAGGCTCAGAGCCACCTCCTCTTTACATGGTTTTCCAGGGTTCTCTCTCCAGGAGGATGAGGACAAAGGGTGGGTTTCATCCTTCCTTGCTTCTGTTTGATGCCACTTTGTTTCCCACCAATGCTATCAGAGAAAGGATGACAGTGTAGCCAGAAATGACTGGAAGTACTCTATTTTTTTTTAATATCTTAGTTTTATTTATTTATTTGGTGCTGTGGATGGAACCCAACCACTAAGCTACAACTCAACCCTGACTGGGAGCACTCTTTTTTTTTAGTCCCCCCCGCCACCCCCCCGGTGGACACAATATCTTTGTTTGTATGTGGTGCTGAGGATCGAACCCAGGCCGCATGCATGCCAGGCAAGCACGCTACCGTTTGAGCCACATCCCCAGCCCTGGAAGCACTCTTGAGACAGAAGCTTTGGAGCTACTATCTGGTTATATGGTCAAGTCTAAGAACTGAGGCTAAAGGATTATTGTCCCTAGGGTTGAAGGTGGGAAGAGGGAAGGGGCAGGCCCAAGAGCCCAATCTGACACATTTATGGCAGTCTTATCCTCAAAGAATACTTGACCTACCTGAGGAGTCTTGTGTACACATGGACACATTATTTGTGAGCTGAAGGCCACAGGCCTCAGCAAGCAAAGGAAATCTATCAGGATATCCATGGATCAAGGGCCACTGTTGTCCCCTCTCACGCTCACAATAATCCATTTTTACAGCAAAAAAACAGGCTCAGACAGGTTCTGTGACTACCCTAGGGAAGGAACTCAGACCAGCTCACCACACTGGACTTCACCATCAGCCCTTGAAGGCACCCATCACCTTTCCTCCTTTTAGGCCAATGCTCACAGCTGAAAGCAACATCTTTCACAATTGTTTTTAACAAAATTTACCATCGGCTGGGCATGGTGGCGAATACCTGTAATCCCAGAAACTCAGGAGGCTAAGGCAGGAGGATTGCAAGCTCAAGATCAACCTTAGCAACTTAGTGAGGCCCTAAGCAACTTAGTGAGACCCTGTCTCAAAAATAAAAAGAGCTAGGGATGTTACTAGTGGTAAAAGCCCCCTGGGTTCAATCCACAGTACAAAAAAAAAAAAAAAAAACTTTTTTTTTTTTTTTTTTAACCATCATAGGCTGGTGCTATAGTTCAGCACTTGCCTAACATATACAGAGACTGAGTTTGGACCCCAGCACTGTCAAAGGAAAAAAAAAAAGAAAAAAAAATTCTCCATTTCAAGAGAATCAAAGCCAGGACCTCTTGGCAAGCATTCTACCACAGAACTCCATCTCCTTTTTAATTTTTTAATATATTTTTTTAGTTGTTGGACACAATACCTTTATTCCATTCATTTATTTTTATGTGGTGCTGAGATTCAAACCAAGGGCCCCGGGCATGCTAGGGGAGCACTCCGCTGAGCCACAATCCCAGCCCAACCATAACCCTTTTTAAGTGTAGTTTAGTAGTGTTAAGTACATTCATGTTGTTGTGCAAAAGGTCTCCAGAACTCTTTTCATCTTGCAAACAGAAACTGTATCCACTAAACAGTAATGCCCCATCCCCCACCCCAGCTCCTGGCAACCACTAACTTGACATGGAAACAGCTGGTGGCACCAATTATTGTGCCCCAGGGTGCTTCCAATCATTTGAGGCTACGTTGAGAAATGCAGTGTCTTTCCTCTGACTGAGAGCATTATTGGACATGATGAACTAAAAGGGCGTTTTACTTTGCTTCTTTCTGATGATTAGGATTAAATCTAGGACTCTGTACATGCTTTACCACTGGCCTACTCTACTCCCACTACTCTTTTTTGTCTCTATGAATTTGACTACTCTAAGTACCTCAAATGAAAGAACTCATACAGCATTTGTCATTTTATGATTGGCTTATTTCACCGAGCCTAATGTCCTTAAGTTTCATCCATGTGGTAGTGGGTGTCAGAATTTTCTTCCTTTTAAAGGCTGAATAATATCGCTTCTCTGCCTTTTGGCTAAGATCAAGTGTAAAGGCTGAATAATATTCCAATATGCATATACCACCTTTTTTTTTTTTTTGATACTGGGGATTGAACCCAGGGGCACTTTGCTATGAGCTATATCCTCAGTCCTTCTTCTTTTTTTTTCTCAGTCCTTCTTATTTTTCATTTTGAGACAGGACTTATTAAATTGCTGAGGTTGAATTTAGGATACTCCTGCCTTAGCCTCCAGTGTTGGGGAGATTACAAGTATGTGTGCTACCATACCCAGCTTTATTTATTTATTTTTAAATTATTTTCATTTTCTATTTATTTTTGCAGTGCTGGGAATTGAACCCAAGGCCTCATGCATATTAGGCAAGCACTCTTTTTTTTTTTTTTTTTTTTTTTTTTGGTGTTTTTGTAACACCCAGGGATTTAACTCAGGGGCACTCAACCACTGGGCCACATCCCCAGCCCCATCTTGTATTTTATTTAGAGACAGAGTCTCATTGAATTGCTTAGCAACTTGCTTTTGCTGAAGCTAGCTTTGAACTTGTTATCCTCCTGCCTCAGCCTCCTGAGCCTCTGGGATTACAGATGTGCACCATCATGCCCAGCTAGGCAAGCACTCTTGCTACTAAAGCAAAAATCCAATTCCTACCATCTTTTGCTTATTTATTCATCTGTAGATGTACAGTGCAAAAAGTTACTTTGCTCTTGTGAATAATGCTGCCAGAAATATTAATACATTTTTTGGGGGTACTGGGGATTGAACCCAGAAGCATTTACAAAAACACTGAGTCAGGGCTGGGGTTGTGACTCAGCGGTAGAGCACTTCCTAGCACGTATGAGGCACTGGGTTCAATCCTTAGGACCACATAAAATAAATAAATAAATAAATAAAATAAAGGTTCAGCCAGGGGCAGTAGTGTATGCCTGCCTGTAAGCACAGTGGCTAGGGAGCCTGAGGCAGGAGGATCACAAGGTCAAAGCCAGCTTCAACAAAAATGAGGCACTAAGTAACTCAGTGAGACCTTGTCTCTAAATAAAATATAAGATAGGGCTGTGGGTGTGGCTCAGTGGTTGACTGTACCTGAGTTCAATCCCCAGTACCAAAAATTAAAAAAATAAAAGGTGGGTCTGGGGATGTGGCTCAAGCGGTAGTGCCCTCGCCTGGTATGCGTGCGGCCCGAGTTCGATCCTCAGCACCACATACCAATAAAGATGTTGTGTCCGTAGAGAACTGAAAAATAAATATTAAAAATTCTCTCTCTCTCTCTCTCTTTAAAAAAAAAAATAAAAAAATATTTTAAATACCTAAAACTAATATTTTTAGT